ATGTCCGTTAGTATTTGTTTTATATAGTTGGGTGCACTAGTGTTTGGTGCATAGATATTTATGATTGTCATCTCTTCCTCTTGGGTTGTTCCCTTTACAAGAATATAGCGTCCTTTTTTGTCTCTCTTAATCAGTGTGGGTTTGAAATCCACTTGGTCTGCAAAGAGGATAGCTACTCCTGCTTTTTTTCAGGTTCCTGTCGCATGCAGTGTTGTTTTCCGCCCTTTAACTTTCAGTCTATGAGTTTCATTTTGAATTAAGTGTGTTTCTTGTATTCAGCATATTGTTGAATCTTGCTTCTTGACTCATTCTGCTAGTGTATTTCTTTTGACTGGTGAATTGAGACCATTAACATTGATGGTTATAGCTGATATTCATTGACTTATCCTTGTCATGACTTTTTCTTTTCGTTGGATTCTCCCCCTTTGTGTTTAATTTCTTGTAATGCTTGATGGATTCATTCTGGTGGGCTTCCCAGCATTGTGACTCTCATTGTCTTTTTCTAGGATATTGTTTAAAATATTTTGGGATGCCAGTTTTGTATTCATGAAGTTCCTCAGGTGCTCTTTGTCATGAAAGTATCTTATTTCTCCATCAATTTTGAAGGATAGTTTTGCAGGGTACATCAATCTGTGTTGGAGGTTATTTTCCTTTAGGGCTTGAAATACATCACTCCAGGCTCTTCTTGCCTTGAGGGTTTCCATTGAGAAGTCTGCTGTGATTCTGATGGGCTTTCCTTTGTATGTGATTTGTTTCTTGTCTCTAACTGCTTGTAGAATTTTGTTCTTCTGTTGGGTTTCTGGAATCTTAACAATTACATGCCTATGTGTAGATTTTTTTTGATCAAGGCTAGTCAGAGTCCTATATGCCTCACTTATCTGTATGTCAAGTTCTTTTTCCCTGTTTGGGAAGTTTTCTGCCATCACTTCTGTGAACATTTTTTTTAATTTCATTTGCACTCTGTCCTGTTTCTTCATCGACTTAATCAGTCTTATGTTATTTTTCTTTGCATTGTCTAGCAGCTGGTGGACTGATATCTGGTGGTCCCTTACAATTTTAAAGAAATTTTTCTTTTACTGGTCACTAATTGCAATCTTATCTTCTATATCTGAAATTCTGTCTTCACATTGGCTCGTTCTGCTGCATAGACTTTCAATGGAATTTTTAATCTCCTGGAAATCTGCTTGCATCTGTTTTATAGATTCCATTTGTTTCCTATGTTGGGATTCCATCATGTTCCTCAGCTCCTCTATTTTTTTTTTATCTGTGTCCTCTCTAGATTTATTAATCATGTCTTACACTATGGGCACAATCTTTGCTGTTATGTGAGAAATTATTTCTGATTTCACTTTTTCCAGATCCTCTTTCGTTGCTAGTTCAGGGAGTCCAAGTAGTTGAGTATCAGACTGTTCTATCTCGTTTCCCTTTGCAGTTGCTGTAGGTGATCTGGAAGTCTGGTTCTGAGGCTTCTTTACATGTCTTTTCATTTTGACCGGGGAGTGGGGGATGCTAGCGCCCACGCAGCTTACCTCCTCTGTGCTGGGAGCTCTGGCACGCCTACCTGGAAGCCTCCTCCAGGCTGGGAGCTGTGGCATGCCTACCCAGAAGCCTCCTCTGGGCTGGGAGCCATCACATGCTGACCCAGAAGCCTCCTCTGTGCTGGGAGCTGTTGAAAGTTGGAATTTTTTAAGTTGGAAGTTTTTAAATAGCTCTTTATGTGAAGTGGCTGTGAGTTTAATTCAGTAGACTTAATTTAATTTAATTCAATAGACTCCAAGGAAGAACATGGCATGATGGCATAGCGAGTGCTTCACTTGCTTCAGCTGTGAAAGGGGTTTAAGTATACCATTCCTTCCTATTCCAGAATTTTGACAAATATAAATTAATACTGTATGTTAAAAAAAAAACTTAGTAAATGGCAACCCGTTATAGGTATTTATGGTATTAGCATCTCCAATGTCATCATCAACACAGACTTGGTGCTCAAAAGATGAAGAATTAGTCAGAGGCATCCTAAAGAGGGAGTGAAAAGATGTATGTGTAAGGAGAAAGGGTGTTCATGATGGATGATTATAAAATTAAAACTTGATCAAAGCTGGGAAATAAAATCAAATAAAACACATAGATCCTTCTTCAATGGATGGTTAATATCTGGTTTTCTGTGTCATAAGTCAGATCAAGCCAATAGAGGAGGAGTCTCTAAAAATATCTCCAATTTGGCCAATCAGATAGTAGGTCATCAGTGAATCAGGTGAGATCATGTTTATTTGTAGACTAATATATCAGCAGGAAATTAAGTAACAAGATGGTTGGTAGCTCAGATAAACCTCAAAAGTATTTCAGCAATTACTGGCCATATGGGGAACACACATTAACAGTGTATCATAATGGCTAAGAGTTTAACTCTGGGTTTAGATTTTATGTCTTTGAACTCCATGTTAGCCACTTACTAGGAGGTATCCTAAACTTTCCTAAGATCCAGTTTTCCTATATACAAAACACAGATAGTGATAGTATCTAATTCACAGGAATTTTACAAAAAAATGAATAAAATATGAGATATTTAGCATAGTGCCTGGCATATATTATTTGCTAATTAATTGTTGTGTTATTTTTCTCTCCCCTGCATCTCAGTTTCCTAAGTTGCAAATTGAATAACTGTGCAGGGATTGACAGTTTAAGGGACTGTGCCTAGACCTATGCTTATCCCTTCTGCCCCCACATTTTAGGTGTGTATATCAAGGTATGGTGGAAAGCAGAATAAAGGGATAAAGATAAAATTGCCCTGAATATTATCTCTGGAGAAAGAACCAAACCCAGGCATAGCTGAGTTAAACAGATATGACACATAAAACATTTCCTTCTCCTTTTTTATTTCAAGCCTATTTTTGAGGCTATAGATCCTGCCCAGTTGGCAACTGAAGGCAAAGAGGAGATGGCTGCTGCCATGGATGGGGCTCCCCTGCTGTGGATAGCTCTGCTGCTCTTTTGTAAGTAGAGAGTCAGTTCCTCCTCCTCGAGGGGCCACAAGGGATCTGGGGAGCAGCAGGCATGGGAATTTTGGTAGTATTAGTGATGGCTTTTTCTAGGATATGTTCAAATGATGGGCTATTTGTATTAGAAATAACTGGAAAGCAGAGAAGCCTGGGTTAAGCAAAATCTAAGGGGGAAGCAGACTGAGCCTGGTTCCTGGAAATTATCTTGGCATCTCCTAGAATGCAAGATTCCTAACAAGGGTGGGAGGATAGAGGAGAGAGAGAAGCTCATTGACCAGCCAGGTAAGATTCCTGAGAAGATGTTTGGCCCTGAAAGCTCAGTGGACATGGATTTCAATGTCATACCCAGATCCCAGTCCTCTGGAGTCCCAGGGGCTGGGGGCTAGATGCTAACTTATTGTCTCTGGATTTTTGCAGCTCCAGATGGAATGCTAATGGGTGAGTGAGTTCCCTCTCCTTATTCCCTCAGCATTCCTGAGTGTCTGCTCATTTCTCTCTCCTCACAGTTTGCCTGCATCCCCTCACTTCTATTTTCTGACGAGAATATGAATCTACCCCTCCTTGGTCAGCCTACTTTCCATCTCTACCTTATATTTTCCTCCTTTCCCCTGTTCCAAAGCTTCTCATATGCTATTTCATGCTCTCAAGTCATCTCCTCCTCTGTTTAAGCCCACAGTCATATCTGCTGCCCTTCTACATGTCTCAGCCTCTCTTCCAGGGTTTTCACTTATTTCCATTCAATTTGTATTATTTGATAACTGAGAATGCTGAAACTCAGATTGTGTTACTTGCTGGAGTTTATATGGCTGAGGAAAAAAAATGGATTCCAGCATAAGTTCAGTTCTCCTTTGACTATGGCTCCCTTTCGTTGTCACCATGTAGCCACTTTCTTGGCCTCTTTTCAAATTTTCACCACATCCCTTTGCTCCTGGAAGCCGTTTGAAACTGGCTGTCTTGGTGTGTTTCACTTCCTTGCAGAACTGACATATACTTTTCACTCTATATACACTTATAATTACATAGTCATAAAGTTTAGATCCTGGAAAGACTGTATATTTCATCAAGCCCAATACATTTTTATTAGTACATGTTCGCAGTACATAATGACTGTGATTATTGTGGGAAATTGGTATATGTACATAATACATCTTTTTTTCTCTGTTTTTTACCCACTATCCCCTGTCCTCCAGTCTCCTTCCAAATCTGTCCCCTTCCCATTTGCAATGCTCTATTTTCATTATTTTTTCCAACCCCTTTCCCTCTCCACTCTCCTTTCTACTTTCTCCTTTTTCTCTCTTGTTCCCCCATCCATTTGAAAAAAAATCTTCATACTTCCTATTGATCTACCTTCTATTTTGCTCCCTCCTTCTCTCTCTCTCTCTCTAAATATATATATGTATACATATGAGAAATATTTAAGCTTGTGTGTCTACCTTACTTCACTTAATATAGTCTCAAGTTGCATCCATTTACCTACAAATTCTTCAAGTTTATTTTTCTTTATGGCAGATTAGTGCTTCATTGTATACAAATACCACATTTTATTTTTTATTCATCTGTTTATGCCAGCTCAATACATTTATCCATCTATTTTTCATGTAGTCATTCACTTGATAAACATTTGATGAACACTTACTGTATATCAGCCTTTGAGCTGAGCAGTGGCCAAGTGTGACAGATGGAGACTGTATCTGAAAAAGAATTGAGACTCTCATTTATAGATTCTGAAATTGAAATTAATAAGAGAATTAGAATGAGTGCTCTCAAGTCACATAGTAAATTACTTTGTTCTTAAATCTCCTGCATTTGTGTCCTGTCTTCCTATATTGGGAGGTTTCTGGGGTCACAGCCCTGTTTGCCCCATCCTTTAAAGCTTCCTTTAGGAATTAGGACAGAGTACAGGCCAAACAAAAGTAGACTAGCCGTTATTGACACGGGACATATAGTGGCTTTTGATAATTTTTTCTTCTATATCTTTCTATAATTTTATCTTCTTGAAGCCCCTCATAAATCTGTGATCTCCTTGAGCCCCCCATGGAACAGGATATTTGAAGGAGAGAATGTGACTCTTACATGTAACAGGAACAATCTCCCTGAAGACAACCTCACTACGTGGTTTCATGGTGGCACCAACTTTTCAACACGGACTTCAAATTTGGACATTGTGAATGCCAACCTTCAAGACAATGGGACATATGAATGTCAGAACCAAAATTTGCCCAGGAGTGATCCTATGTACCTGGAACTGTTCAGGGGTGAGTTCTAGAGATATAGAAATGCATATTTCCCATGTGAGGAATGGCTCGTGAGAAGATAAGGGAAAGGAGGTTATTCTAAGACTGAGACCATCAGGGTAAGACTCAGGGCTTCCCATCCAAGACTTCTCCATCCCTCTTCTACATAACCTCCTTCTGCCCACCTTTTTATCCTCTTTCAATATTCTGGTCACTTCTCAATATTATTCCTGTACTCTATTTTTCTCTATCTTTTCTGCCTAGACACAGATGTACATTATGTACTCAAATGGCGCAATGGATTTATGAACATTGCAAAGCCATGTATCTGGAGTAGGATCAAAGGCCTTGATTTAAAGATTTACTGTAAATAATTCATGTGTCATGACTTGAATATTAGGTTAATTATGAGGGATATCTGTGTACATTCCTCATGTCATTTATTGTTACTCAAAAACAGTTCTTATGTTTCTTTCATCTGTATTAGTCTCCTGCCAACAATTAACACAACATACTTATACTTGGGGATTAATCAGTAAATGTTGATTGAACAAACTAGTGATTTCATTTGGATGGATAAGTCAGTGTTAAACTTTTCTCTCCAGTGAAAATAAATATTTTAACATCTGAATGTAAATTCCAAATATGAACTAAGTCAACGTAGGATAATGTCTTTATTTCCTTGTAGTAGATTATAGAGAAGTCCTCAAAGATTTCTCCTAAATAAAATATGCTTGCACAAGTTATCCATCTTCCCATTTGACAATTTTCTTTTATCAATGCTCTGTAATCATTACAATGACAATAGATTATTGTCTTTTACTGACTTATTGTTCACAAATGGTTTTTGAGTATCTACCAACCCCTGGGCATTGTGTTAGCCATTGAGGATAACATGTAGAATGAGACAAGACCCCTGACCTCATGAAACATAGAGCTAACTGGGAATGAGATCATTACATTAAGGATTCCACAAATAATTAAAACAGCTCCATGTTTTAAAGAAATTTTGAGGGTAAATATGATCGACAGCAGAGTTGGGAGGCCTGAATGAATTAAGAGCAAAATAGACTCTCCTAAGCTAAAATTCACTGTTTATTTTCTCTGAAGTGGCTAGAACTAGCTGTAATAGTTCTGAAGGGAATTCTGGGTTTCAGGACTTCCACGTGTGAGTTCAGCAGAAAGGTCTGAGTGATTTTATGGCTCCATACTTACTGTTAGGAGAAAGTATTTATCAGTATAGAAGACAAGCTCTAAGCATTATTTTGTGTTTACTTTTATTTTATGAGTCAAGAATTGGGTTAATAATAATCTGTATTTTCTGACCCACATTCTACTTGTAAACCTCTATCTATCTATCTATCTACCTATCAACGATCCATCCACCTCCCTAACTATATATAATCTATCTACCTACCTTTCTATAATCTATACTATCACCTATATGTTGATGATCTATCTATAATCTTTCTATTTATAATCTCCCCCCTTTTCCTGTTTCCCCATTCCCCTGTTCTCCTTTCCCCCCATTTCTTGCTAAACAAATAACGTAATGACTGCTCTTCAGACTGGCTGCTCCTTCAGACCTCTGCTGAGGTGGTGGTGGAGGGTTCGTCCCTCTCCCTCAGGTGCCATGGTTGGAAGAATTGGACTGTCTACTCCCCAATCTACTACAAGGATGGCCAACCTTTCAAGTATTGTTATGAGAACAATGTCTCCATTACCATTACAAATATGGCAGCTAGTGACAGTGGCACCTATCACTGCACCGGCTTCTTTACACTCAAGCAGAAGAAGCAAAATAAGACATATGTTTCTGAGTCCCTCAATATTACTGTCATAAAAGGTGAGTTGGTAAAGGAAAAAGAAATAGTCCATAGCAAGGGAGGGAAGAGAGGATATCTAAGCCTGAAGTGTTTACATCTTTTAGAATGGGAGCCACTAAGATAACTTGAAAAAGTTACTAGACTTGCAATGAGGTGGCCAAAGCTATAGTATATATCTCAGTCCTAGATTCCACTTTGTTAAATGGTTGTAATAATGCCTGCTCATACTATGGAGTTTTGGTGAAGATTATTTATGAAATAGGTGTGCTAATATTTATCATAGGACTTTGTAAACTGTTAAGCACTGCAAAGATGTAAGAGATTGTGATTGTTTTTTATCTTAAACTCATCTATTTCTCCTGAAGTATTTATATTTATCAAAATGAAAAGGAGCTCCAAAGTTGAAGGAACAAAGGTTGTGGTGACCTAGAAGAGTCTATTCTGGCTTAGGTCAATAAACCATGTGCTTGTGTCTTGGGAGACAAGGAAACAGGCTTGATGTGGAGCAGGTAGGCAGGTGGGCTGCCTTTATAGCCCATATGAAAAACTGCTCTTCCCAAACTTTGTATACAGCAGGGGGAGCCTTTGGAATATTTGGCTTGCAAGGAAGAAATCAGATGGGGTTTTTTAGGCATATTGATAATTGATAATTATGTATAAAAAACCGTAAGACCAAAAGTCAGAATTAGCTTTGCTGACAGTTCTCTGTTAATTTAAGACCCAAGTGCTATTTGATTCTTATTTAATTGGTTGCGATGAGGCTTGGGCAGCAATACTTTTAGAGGGTCTTTCAACTGATGGTCATGTGTGGCCAATGTTGAGATGCACTGGTTCCTAAGTGGTTTCTCTCTATGATATTTGGGAGCTCTACAATTTTAGAACGAGTCACCAAACAGTAGATTTGGAAGGTAACATAAGTACTCTAGTACTTTATGTCACCAAGTAGTTGTGCAAGAAACAATGGTTGATTAATTAAAAATAAGGCACTGGTGACTCCCTGCCTTCACTGAGTCTCCTTTCAACCTCCAAATTGTATGCAGATGGTGGTCATGTTAGCTTCAAGAAAAACATCATTTTTTACTATGACTTTCCTCTTGAGCACACTGTCTAGAGGAAAGGTTTTGGACAGGGGTTACTGGAAAATAGGTTCCCGGAATTCCTTCTTGGACCTCCAGGGAACACAGACAGGGTAACCCAGCCTCCCGAGTGTTTCTTCTCTGTTCCTGGAGGCCACATCATGCTAAAAATGGAGGACTATGTGCTTGCTTCAGCAGCACGTATACTAAAATGGAGGACCATGCTTAGTCCTTCTCTTAAGGAAGATGAAGCTCTGAATCTCACTCTTCAATTTCTGATATGAATCATGTTTCTTGTTGCATCTGTATTCCACTCTAGGTCAACAAAGCAAGTATTTTTGGCTACAACTCATTATTCCTCTGCTGGTGGTGATACTGCTTGTTGTAGATATGGGATTATTTGTCTCAACTGATAAACAGTTCAAATCACTTTTGAAAATGAAAACGACTAAGAAAGGCAACAAACTTCAGAACCCACATCCTGGGGCAGACCCCCAAGGAAATTGATGTCATTGTTTAAGAATCAGTTTGCAACAGCATTTTTTTTTTAACAGAATGGCTTTTCATTTGTCAAACACAGCTCTCAAAGCACATATCCAGTTAAATTTGGTTTAATGAAGCAGTTCTATACATCCTTGACTACAGATTTTTCTGTGACATGTAATACCAAGTGCTCAATAAACACTGGTTGAATAAGTGCAAGAATGAATAGATTTATTTATTATTAGCCTTTGCAAAAGGGGGCAGAATCTGAATAAAATAAATATGAGACTATGTAGTATGATCCTTCTGAATATTCAAGGCTTATTTATTTGTCTTTTTTTAGTTGTAGAAGAACTATGAAGGTCTAGATTTAAAACGTCTTCTCATGACCATTATGAGCTATAAATGAAGCAACATAGTAGGAGGCAGTTGAGGTGGATAATGTTTATGTTCTCTCTCCAACTTACTATATATAAGCTTCTTAATTTTGGCTGCATTTCATCATAAGAAATTGATCCTAGCAATGAAGTTCAGTCCAGGAATTATTTGTGATTATTTTATCACTTTAATGTATCCCAAAATTATCCTTAAAAGTATATTTTTCATCGTTATGAACAAATTAAACAACCATTTTGGAAAAGGCAAATAATAATAATCAAAACTCTTATCTCTGAAAATAGTCTAGGACTGAATAATTTGCCAAACAAAGGAAATAAACAGTTTTTGTGTGTTTATTTTCACTTTCAATGTCACCACTGAAGGCCCAAGACTATTACATAGAGTGAATGCAATTAAATTCCCCTCTCCTAAAAAGCCATCCATTGGAAAGAGACTAAATCATTCAGGAAATAACATGGCTTCAAAGATCCTGACTCTTCTACTTTCTAGGTTTAGGAAGATCTTCTTTTACCACCATTGGTCACAGTATTCCACTGCTAAAATAGGAATCATAATAATCATCCAGTCTTCCCCTCTTGCCCCACTGTCCATGAATATGGTTAGACTGGGTTCTTAGGGAAAGCCCCAGAAAATGGAGGCACATATTATCAGGGCTGGATATGAGTTTACTGCAGAGAATGAGCTCAGGGGCCTCTAATTCACTGAGGCTCTACAATAATTAACAGTAGAGGACAGATACCTGGGAGAGAAATAATAAGTAGTATCTACAAGATCTACAAGTTCCATGCCTAAAACCAGTGTTTCTGGAGCAGAGACAAGAAAGAAATTATATGAGCCTTTCTTTTTTTTCTTTACCCTTTCCCCTCTTCCAGACAGGTATCTTGTATAAGCTATTTTCACAGACCCCTTCCTTTTTTTTTTACTTATTATGAAGAGCTCAGAAATGGCCAGATTCCCACTGAACAGCCTATCATTGGTTTCATGTAACAAGGATTGATGAGTGGAAGGGAAATGCCTTCTGAAACAATGGGCCAGAAGAAGTGCTTCTAGGAGGTTCCTTGGTGGTCCATGACACTCCTGTTACCCCAAGTACTTCCCCTCATAGCCTTGAGGCCAATACATGCATGAAGGACACCTTCCCCTAGTGATCTCTACAGGAATCAGCATCACATAGAGAGCAAGGTGCTCCTTTGTGTCAGACATGGGTCTGAAGCCAAGTGACTCATAGTTAAGACCTGAGAGCGACCTAATGTGGATAGAAAGTCCAGTCCTGATCAGCTTGAGGTACGTGTGTTGAGAGTTTCTATGTTCTTGAGGGTCGCAGTTCACATTTGCCTCCCCTCTTGTTCTCAGTGCAAGCTTGGAGGGCTATGGCTAGGGAACAGATATGGAGGTTCAAGCTGCCACTAACTAGCTGAGGGGTTGGGCCAGTTCCTTGGCAGTCTCTGGGATTCTATTTCCTCTTTGTAAAATGAAAGGTTTGGACAAAGTGTTCTGTAAGGTCCCTCTAGCCCAGACATGTGCCATTCATTCCTCTGTCACCCAGTTGCCATGTTGTGCTTATGTAGGCACAGAGCAGCTCAGAAGCCATTCCCAGGAAGCTGCACTGTGAACTTCTCCTCATGGCCACACAATGGTCCTTTTCTTCCTATGGTCTCTCATGTACCTAAATTTGATGCTATTTCAGACCCATCTCTACCATTTCTTTCTTCTTGTTATCTTCTTGATGGTCATTCATGGCCTATTCAAGAAAGAATGTAGAACAGAGTTAGGAATTGAGGACTTTGTAGTCTTCAGAGTATACCATTTATAAAGGGATCTTTTTACTTTAACACATATAAAATATTCTCTACCTATACCAGAGAAGCAGTATGTAATACAGATGACTAGTAGAATCCATCCCAGATTCACTCTTTTGGCCCCTCTGATTTCTTAACTAACAGATCTAAGCCAGAACACAGAACAACTTTTGCTCTCCCATGACCACAAATCCTCCTGAGTTCCCTACAGTTAGGTGTTGGCTTTCTGTAAATCAAGACACAGTTCCCTATTTGGGGGCAATGAAATAGAAACTTCCCAGGATTTCTCCAGTGTGGACACTCAATCAGAAGATTTACCTGGTTAGAAATCAGGGGAACTGAGGTTCAGAAAAGGCTCTGATCTTCCCTCTTCCCACCAAGTGGGAAATGAAGAGAGCAGAAGCATCTTTCTGAACCTAGAGATGAATCTTCTTGTGGAAGGCAGAGGCACCCGAGGATACTTGGAGACTGTCCAGGTCCTTAGACAACTTCAGAGAGTAGGGTTGCCTTCCAGACTTAGATTATTTGTCCAGTTCTGAAAAGTTCCATGCAAGTCCATGTCTTCATCTGGTATGACATCAACCTCCACAAAATTCTCACCAAAAGCCTTTTTCTGTACAAATGTGCCCAGGATCACTTGTTATATAATTGACAGCACCCTGCCGCTTCCCCTCCTGAAAACTGGAAAGGCACAGCCCCGCTTTAAGTATTGCCTGTGATTGTTGAATTTCAACATAACTCAGAGTTGTCAGTGATCTCTCTGTAAGGTCAAGGTGCCTGCCTGCAAAGAAACTGAAATTACCCTCTATGAATTGAAAGGGAAAACATTTCAGAGTTTTATTTTCTCACCAGTTTCCAAGAAGATAACACTACACAATTGGCAACTAAATTGATTCACAGTAAATATAACTCAATAAATAGAATATAAATATTTTTAAAAATTAAAATGTAAAAGCCATTTATCTACCCTGACTAAAATATGTTAAGGCTAGAAATTGCACTCTCTACTTATGCCAATTTTTCTAGAAATGGTATGCTAAAATTGGGTTCTCAGCTCATGCCAACTGTTCTAGAAATGGGATCTTAAAATGTTGCCTTTTTCCATCCTCAGGAAACAGACTTTAAGACACAAATTTCCATGCAGGAATTTATTAGGAGTGGTCTCAGCCTCTGCTCCTGTGCAAGACTAAAGGAGAGAGGGTGAAACAAACAGAGAAATTCAAGTGCGATGCATTGACAGCAAAGACCTCAGCCCACCTCACAGAGAAGACTCCAGATTAGGGAGAGCCCTTCATATTTATCTTAAAGACAATTCCCTGAAATAGAAAAAGCCCTGGAGATGTATATATCCCTGAAAAGGCAGAATGGACTGGGAGGAAGCAGCTCCATAGGAAGTGGGCCTCACTGAGAGTTCTCAGCCCATGTTTCTCCCAGGATCGGGGGAATGCACATGTAAGTCCTGAGTGGTACAGCCTTGGTGTGTATACTGTATCCCACAAATTCATCTTCAGAAAAAAGGGGTGTCAAATTAATCAGCAGACCTTTACTCATCAGCTTTGAATCAGGCTAAACAGAACTATTATGTGAAACACTTTTGAATTGTGTTTTGACCAACAGCACAGAAAATAACTGGCCATCATCTCTGGAAATCTGGACACTAAGGCAAAAATATCTCTTATCCCAGCCACACTTCACAGGCTAGGTTTTTTGCCAAATGACACATGTTCTCTTGAGTTAAGAATTGCTTCATTTCCACTGGCTCCTCCCATCCTCAGCAGCTGCAGTTTTGATGGCACTTCCACATGTGATGTCTTGGCTTTCTGGAGTCATGTCACTGGATCAAATGGATTGTTCATGTTAAATGAACTAGGTGAACCTAGGGTGTGACAGTCTCACTGCAGAAAAGCTAGAGTGGAGTGGAAAAATGAGACCAAAATTCTTCCTTATCCTAGCATGCCCACTTTCATCTTCTGAGATATTCAGCCATTGTAAACATGTAAGTGAGGAGACACAAATTCATATACCATCCTGTGGTAGGCTTTCTTATGCTGTTGTACTACTTGTTAATTGTAGGGAACAAGGAAAGGGGACATTACAAGAACCTCTGCGGTAACTCCCAGTCTCCTGAGAGCCACGGCAGCACAAGGCAAATTACAGGAAAGGTAGAAAAACGAGACTGAGAAGAAGCTGAGCTTTGGGTCTGATCAGTGCTGCTCTGGGCAGCAAAGACAAAGACCCCTAGCTTGCAACACCTTTTATTCAGTACCTCTGGAGAAACAAATGTAACAAATGAAATGCTGAGAGTTCAGTACATCACATTGGGATAAACAAGTTGTTTCAAAAGACTGGGGGTCAGTGGAAATCCAAGAACAATGAGGAACTATGCAGATGAAGATTTGGTTCCTCCCAGGAACTACACAGATGAAGATTTGGTTCCTCCCAGGGTGTCTCCCACAGGTGTGGTCTTGCCCTGGAGCATCATAGTGTCAGGGAATCATTGAGGTCTCAGTTGTGACCGGAGGTCAAAATGGAATTGTGTCTTGGTGTGCCATAGCTGGGCCTAATCAAATGGTTTTTACCTAAAATTATGTAACATTGCTCCCAACAGTTAATCTGGGGAATCCTCAAAAGGCAAGAGACACATCTTTCAAGTGAATGGAACTGGTCTAACTGGCCTGAGAATAGGGGGTACAATGTGAAACAGCAAAAAGCTTCAGCCACAGAGAACACAGAGGTGTATTGTCCATAGTTCTGAGATGTCCAGATGAGAAAACTCAGATTGAAAAGAAAACCAGACCAAAATGTTGAACACTTTTCACATTTTCAACACAGATCTAAAGAGGATAGAGTTTGAGAGTTTCCTGGGCAATTTCATCATTATGAGTATCATAGAGTGCACTTGTATAAATATAGATGGTATAGTCTCAGTTATATGGCATATACCATTATATACACAATCCTGACTGAAACCTTACTACCTAATGCATTGCTGCAACTCAGAATGTTCTTATAAGTGTAGCTGTGTGGATGTGCATACAAGTACGTACAAAAGTTGAGTTTGGCTTTGCCACTGAGGCAGGTCTAGATTTGAAAGTGTTGGGCAAAGGGACAGAAAGCTGTGAAAAGCCAACCAGGAAACAAGTAGATTGGATCAAGGTTTTCAAATAAATATGTCATTTATTTGGGTTTGTTTGATTCAAGCATAATTAATCTTCCCTCTACATTTATAAATGTATGGAAATAATATTCCAGTACCTCTGGGCCAGGGCACAGAGAACTGGGACTGGACCAAAAGGAACCCTGCAGGCTAGCATCCAGTGAATCTCAATCCGGTCTTTGGGATCTCACACATTAAGGCATTATTTAAGTAGTTTAAAATGACACGTGTATACACTAAAAGAAGAAGCCTTCCTAACTTTTCCTGATTAAGAGGAGATTGGCTTTTTTCCCAAAGCTTTGCACAGAGCATCTTTGACCTCCTTGTTCCTCAGGCTGTACACCAAAGGGTTCAGCAGAGGTGTGATGACAGTGTAGGTCACTGAGATGAGTCTATCCTGCCCCAGGAAACTCTGGGACTTGGGCTGGAGATAGATGATTGAAGTGCAGCCATAGTGGATGATGACCACTGTTAGATGGGAGGTACAAGTGGCAAAGGCCTTCTTTCTGCCTTCTTTTGAAGCAATTTTAAGGATAGTGGAGATAATGAGGACATAGGAGATGAAGACCACACCCATGGGTAGAATAAGAACAAAGACACTGACAACAAAGTTGATGATCTCACTGACAGTGGTATTTGTGCAGGCCAGCTTCAGCAGGGGTCTCACATCACAGAAGAAGTGAGGGATGACAAAGGCATCACAAAAGGGCAAACTAAACACAGATGTTACCTGGACGATGGCCATGCTCAGGCCAATTCCCAGTGATCCTAAAACCAAATGGTTGCAAGCCCTCTTGCCTATGATAACTGAATATCTTAGAGGGTTGCAGATGGCCACATAGCGGTCATATCCCATGGCCATGAGTAAGAAGCAGTTGTTGATGCCAAAGGTTAGATAGAAGAAGAGCTGGGTGGCACAGTCTTGAAAGGAAATAGTCTGCTGAGGATTCAGAAGGCCATAAAGCATACGAGGAATGATGACCACAGTGTAGCAAGTGTCAGAGATTGACAGAATGCTCAGGAAGAAGTACATGGGGGTATGAAGGTGACGGTCCAAGTGAATAATGGTCACAATGATCACATTGCCAGACAGAGTCACTAGGTACAACATTAGGAAAACAACAAAGAAGACAAGCCTGTGCTGCCACCCAAAAGTGGAGAAACCTGCAAAGAGGAATTTAGTAACAAAAGTGCAGTTAGGCTGTGACATCAGCATTGCTGCCGGTCCAGGTTTGAAGGAGCTGAAAAAAGGAAGGAAAGATGTGATGAGTCAACGTGAAGCACATTGGCCTTAACCAAGGTGTTCAGTCAATATCCAGCCTTGAGCATTGCTCCAGGCTCCAGAGGTCATCAGTGATCAGCTAGTGGCCAATTTCTCAGTTTTCCTCTTTGCCATCCTTTTCTTTGATATTATAAAATTGTGCACCTAGGACCTCAGCATTGAGGCCATAGACAGCAAAGAGAGGGAGAGAAGAAATAAATTCAAAAAGATTTGTAGAAACAGCTAGCTGATTTTAAGTTCTTATTTATATTTCCAGAAATGGGATTGCTGGCATATGGTACTTCTATTATTAATTATATGAGCTACTTTCTTACTGTTTTCCATGGGAGCTGTACCACTTTACATTCACACCAACTGTGTATAAGTGCTCCTTTTCTCCAAATACTTTTTAGCACTTGTTGTCTTTTGATAAGAATATATATATATATATTTCATCCTAACTGTTGGGAGGTGATATTGTGATTCTCATTTGCATTTTACTAATGAGAGCATCCTTTCATGTAATTGAATTGAAAATTGCAATCATGACCTTAAAGAGATACTTGTACACTGATGTTCATTGCAGCACTATGCATACATAATAGACAAATTATGGAAACAACTGATATGTCCATTGTCAACTGAATGAATAAAAAATGTGGTATATATTTGAAAGAAATATGATTCAGTTGTCAAAAAGAAAATTCTGTCATGTTTCCAACAGCATAGACAAGCCTGGTAGGTATTGTGCTAAGTGAAATAAACCAGGAATTGAAGGACAATTATTGCATAATTACACCCATAAGAGCTACTTAAAATATTCAAACTCATAGAGGGAGGAAATAATGTAGTGGTTATGAATTGCCAGAGTGGGGAACATGGAGAATTTTTGCTAGATTGCTAAAAAGTTTCTGGTATACAACATGATTTGGTTCTTGAAATTTGATATGCAGCAAAATAATTAAATCAACAATATTATATTTTAAATTTTTAAAATTTTCAAAATATAAATCTCAACCTCAAACAACAAAGCAAAAGAGGAATACACAAGGACAGTTTGAAAGAGATAGCCATGTCTTTCATAGACTTACGTTCAAACTCGTCACATGTATATATTAAATATATTCAGGGTGTTAGATAATGATTATACTTCAGGAAAACTGTTGAAAGAAAGAAAGGAAGGAAGAAAGAACCCCTTGGCCATTGGAGAGCTGGGTCTAGATTAAGAGAAAAACAGGTGAAACACTGAAAGTGCCCAGGTCTTTAGCTCCTCCTCGACACATCTTGAATTATTTCTGAAACAGTACAGCGAGACTGATACCCTATCAATGTTGCCAATAGCATTCAATACCAAGTCCTTCACAAGGACTCTGCAATGGCTTCTCCTCCTCAGGACCCTAGTCTAGACTTTGTCTTCAATAGATAGCCAGTAAGATCATGAGAAATGATTTCTTATATCACTGCTGTAAGTATTTAGCTTGTCTCCTTGAATTCTAGCCACAGGAAGGAGGGGGAAAGAAAAGAAAGTTGAAAGTCAACCTACTTATCTCTTCCCTGTTCCACCCAGCCCAAAACCCTAGTACCTCCTAAAACACTCTGCCCTCTTCCTCTCCTCTTTATACTTTATACCAACACCCAACTTCTGATGAACATCATTGCCTCTGATCACTGGGGTGGTCTCCTACCTAATTGCCCTCTTTCCCTTGGTCTTAGTCAATGTCTTCCTGCAAAATACTGTCACTGTGGGGTTTTTTGAAACAGCTACTTGTTTAACCTTCCTGTATAAATTCTTTCAATAGGTCTTCAAAATTTTAAGCACAATATTCAAACTTTGTAAATTGATTACAGTAATATTAAACAGTCACCATGAGGATTAACATATTTGAAGAATTTGACCTGGCACTTGACACATAAAAAACCCTTATTAAATAGTTTTATGGGTAGTTATTCCTTTTTATTTTTCACAAATAAGTTGGGTTTTCATTTTAAATTGAAATTCCTTTTTTTTTTTTTTCAGTACTAGGGATTGAACCCAAGGCTTTCTCACTGAACTACATCAACAGCCACCCTATCCTCTTTTTAAATTTTTAATTTTGAGACAGTCTTACTAAGCTGCCTGGGCTGGGTTTATACGTATAATCTTCTGTCTCAGCCTCCCAGGGTGCTCAAATGAATCACTTTATATTTATAAGAGGAGCAGAGTAGCAGTGGAGCTGTGGGATTCATTCTAACATTCTTAGTTGTAAAACATCTTTTGATTACCCCTGTCTTGATTTCGTAAATTTTATCATTTCTCATCCATTTGCTCATGTAGACTTTTTCACGCTTTGCTGAAATATTTCTGAAAGTGCATTGAGCAGAATCATGTACTGCTATGCCTACTATCCTAATATAGGTGTGAATTAGGTGGAGCACAATATTCCATTTTGCCTCTAACACCCTGTTGATAATGCTCAATATTTTAGTTCTCCTTTGAGTCATCACAGCTTCTCCAACTAAAATAACTAGCAAAAGGTAATATAACTAGGACTATCCAGATCCTGTCTGGTATATAACTAATAGTGTGGAGCCCATTACCATATGATTAGTTAGTGTCCATTACACTTGTATACACTGACATTCATACATTAATTTTCTTAACCGAAAAAGCCTTACTCATGCCTTTGACTTGGAATAAATCCTCCAGACTATTAGTCAGCTCTAAATTAATAACACCCTAAAAAACTCTCTCTCAATACTATTATGTGGGAGACTTTAACAGAACAATCAGTACAAAGGTACAGAGAGAACTGGTTAAAATTTAAGATACTGGTAGGAGTAGGATTACTCATCTGGGACCTAGAAATGGAGGTAGAGAAGAAAAGATGAGCGATAATAAAATGGGATGTGTACAGATGGATGGAAACCACACAATTCAGATAATGTTTTTGAGTTTGGGGTTTTTATTGCTTTTCCTTTCTTTCAAATAAATGATGAAACAAGTGATAAAAGGTTTGTCCCTAACCCGATTCAGAATGAATATACTATATACTTGTACTTTTTTTGTAGAAGAAAGGAACATATTTAATTGATTGTTTCCTGTGTTTTAAAATATCTTCTGTGCATTTGGGTTTGCTTAATGCATAATTTGTCTTGCTTTTACCAAGAAAAACCATTTCTTCAGCAGTTCAATGTGCTCAGTAGCCACACATATAAGTGTTGTGTTAGAGCCAGGAAAAGAAAGATTACTAAAGAGGACTTGACTCCTACAGACCTTAGATTCTTGAACGGCCTTTGGGATCAACCTCAGCAAAAGTCTTTTCAAGTGTTTTATGTCCCTCTTCTCTACATTAAACTATTCATTTACATGTATAAAGTCTTGGAGATCAGATTCTTCCTTCTCAGACACATGCTTTCCTTCTTGCTCAGACTACCACTGGCTGTGTGTTACCTGAGTACGTGCCCTAACAAACACTCCCCAGCCTAGCAGAGAAGGAAACCATACTCACCTGGCACACCGTTTCTGCAGTCTTCTGGAGAACTGAGCTCATGTCCAAGGCACATCCACCACTCTGGAAAGTTGACTGTGTGAAATAGCAGATGATAAACTTGTACTGATTCTTGTGAGACGTTTCTGAGATGTTTGTAAATGTTCTTTGCAAAAATTTTTAAAACTCACCAGTTGTTTATCTCTAGATCACTTTGTAGCAATATGATATTGTACTGAATAGTTGGTGAGTTTCTTAATCAGAGGGTCAGTGAAGTCTTACTGAGCAGTGTCATGGTTTAACAGGAATTCCTTCTTTGCCAATAAAGCTCTAGACACCACCCAGAATGCTATACCTAAAAAACAAGTACACAAAGGAGAAAGTCCTCCCATGTCTGTGGTCACAGTAAGGATAGGAAAAGTCATGATAATTTCCTCCAGATTTTTCTACTCCTATATGCTGAGAGGAGTACAAACTGTGGATTGGGGGTTCTTAATAAGGTAGCAAACCTCTATCTCAAATGCTGGTTCTCTCTAAAATGCAGTCAATATTCCCAAGCGATCAATGGCAAAGGATGCAATCCAAACAGCAGATTGCCTGGAGACCTCATTACCAAGGCAAGTCATTACCTCACCCCTATTATGGGATCATAATGAGGACAACACTTGGGAGAACAGAGTTGGCTAAGCTGTTAGCAACATCTCTGTGGGTGAAAAGCTTACCTTTCTATCTTAGGGTGAGCTTTGTCTTGTTAGGATCTATGTCATATTTTCTGTGCATTTCTCCAGTTGTGAGGATGGAGGACTTAATGCCATATGGGATAACTCTTCATATACAAAAGAGGAAAAGAAATGATTTTCAAGAAGGGTTTACTTAAGGGATTTCTGCTGCCAGGAACACATAATGACGACCTCCAGGTAATCTGACATATGAAGCTAGTTTGATGTTTCTGGTAAAATCATCAATTTTGTCCCTAAGTGCTATTGTATGAACTGTACACTATTAAACTGGTGTTTATTCTCTGTCCTGCCCATCACATGCCCTGAATTCATTTTGGACACTTCATCTCAGTTTGGCCCCTGGCCACAGCTCTGACAGGTCATCCTCCATATACTAAATATATCTCATTATCTACAGCCCAAATAGACTTTCACATGTGTCTATAGTCTGAAGATATATAAAAGTTGGCACTCAAATTGTGATGTGTTTAACTCTTGAATCATTTTTTTGCATTGATCTTATACTCCTACATCAGTTTTGAGCATGTTTAGCTAGGAACTTTTATTCATTCTTCTTGTGTTCTCTTGGTGTACTTGAGCTGGCTCTTCTAGAGATTAATTACTAATACATTCTGTGTCCTTACAATGTGCCAGTACAAAGCTATGCAATGTACATATATTTAGTCATTTTATTCTAGTACACTTAAATGACAAATGGAAAACTAGGATTAAAGACAGGATATCCTGCCTCATAAGTTGTGTAATGTTGGTTGAATTGAATTAATTTGAATTTATTTAAAGGATGGTGGTACTGCCCAAGGGTAACAACTTACAAAGGCACCTTTGTAAAGGTGAATAAGATGTTAGACTAGCAATTCAATTTGCAAAGGGTAGAGTTCCATGTTGGCTGTTAACTAAGTATATATTAAGTAGACATTATTTTTCTGGGGCTTTATTTATTTTTAAGTGATATGGTACTGTGAGCTAAGAATGATGGTAAGTAGGTGCGTGTTTGTAAGTACTACTATCTGCATTCCATAAATTAAGAAACTGAAGTCAAGCCAGACAACTGGCGATAAATGACCATTTACCAAGGTTCTTTTTACTCTGCTATGCTTCATGTCTTTTTAACACTGAAGGACAGATTCTCCAAGATCTCTAAAATGATGCTATAATAAATAAATGAGGTAGTTATTGCTACCGTGTCAATGAATATTTGAGAAGCCAAGGATCCAGAAAGAAAGAATGTGTAGAGATATTATTCTGACATTCAATTCTCTGTAATTTTCTTGAGGAATTATAGTTTGTCATTTGTAATCTTTGGCCAAAAGAACTTAGAAACAGAGCAGAGCATCTGGCGAATTCCATGTGCTTATACAGGAAAGGGTAGATGGAATTAAGCTGAACCTCTAAAGACTGAAACTCACTTCAAATCAGTGTCTGGTGTTAAATATAGTTAAATATGAACTTGTCCCTAGTCTAACCACATCCTAGGAAGCAAAATAAAATCTTCACTGGAGAAAATAAAGCATTCTAAGGCCTCAAACTGTCTTTATAATTGATTCACATAGAACAGGGACAGGCAACTATTGTCTGCCAACCAATGTGGCCACTGCTTGTTTGTATACAGACTGCAAGATGAACAATAATGTTTACATTTTAAATGATAGAAACAAATCAAAAGGAAAATAGTGTTTTGTGACACATGAACATTACATATTTTCGGAAGGTTCCAGAGCTGCCCCGTGTGCAGGGCAGGCCCCAGTCTCACGCAGATCAGGTGTACCCACAGCAGCAGGTCCCACAGCCTGTGCTGATGCTGAGTCAGGAGGTTCCTGTCCTTGCGTGCACGCCTGCAGTCTTGGTCCTTCAGTCTGACCAGGCCATGGCTTCAGGTTTGGAGGAGAAAATGTCCCTTTATTTGAAGAACAAGTAGTGGACTGTCTCAAATTTGCCATTTTTAAGTTAAAAAAAAATCTACCTTGCAGAGTGATCTAGAATAGGTAAAGCTGTTGTTGGAAAAACCATTAGGAAGAGAGTATGTGATGCCCTGAAAGCTGAAAAATCCAAGATTGAAACAGAAATAAAGAATAAAATGCAACAAAAATCACAAAAGAAACCAGAATTTCTTAACAATGAAAAACCAGCTGCTGTGGTTGCTCCCATCACAACAGGATATACTGTGAAAATCAGTGATTATGGCTGGGACCAGTCAGATAAGTTTGTGAAAATCTACATTACCTTAACTGAAGTTCATCAAATTTCTGCTGAGAATGTGCAGGTGCATTTCAGAGAGGTCGTTTGATCTTTTGGTGAAGAATCTAAATGGGAAGACTTACTCTATGATTGTGAACAATCTCTTGAAACCCATCTCAGTAGAAGGCAGTTCAAAAGAAAATCAAGACTGATACAGTTTTTATCTTATGTAGAAAGAAAGCATAAAACACACAATGGAAGGACTTGACTCAGGTTGGAAAAGAATGAAAAGAAAAAGAAAAGCCATCCTATGATGCGGAAACAGATCCTAGTGAGGAATTAATGAATATTCTAGAGAAAATTTATGAAGATGGGGACAATGATATGAAGTGAATTATTAATAAAGCCTGGGTGGAATCAAGAGAGAAGCAAGCCAAAGGAGACACAGAACTTTGAGACTTTTAAGACCTTTTGAGAACTATTATATGGAAATACTGATATTTCCAATAAGGGAATGTTGGTGAGTTGCACATATAAATTTGACAGATAACTACAAAGCCTTCAAAGTAAAGCCAATGAATTCTCCATTTCTTTTTGGAGGATTTATTTAAATAAGATATACATTTTAAACAATTCCTCCAAAGATGATTTCATTACACCCTGGTCATTTTGTTCAAGAAAAGGTTATATGGCATTCTCATTGAAATATAAAAAGCAAGTCTTGTCTAAAGAAAACAATACATTATGTGTATTTCTGTTCAACTAGGAGGTAAAATACCAAAAGTATTTGTTTGCCTGTAAGTTACACGTCAGCTCCCACTAATGTAAGAATAAATAAAACTGAATTTTTGTATAAAATTCAAATTTGTGCCTGTGTTTCAAATTTGCTGTAGAGCAGATGATCCTCTCTCACCAGCTTGAGCAGGGCATATACCAGGGATTACCATCCACTAATAAGCCAATCACAAATGTTTCTATCTATATTTAAATATATTTGTTTATGAGTATAGAATTAAGAATAGACAAGCATCGTCATATAGTAGCAGTTAGTAAGTTCTACCATGGATCAGATACTAATAACCATAAAGCAAAAATAATTATTTTGAAAATCCATCTATTCCTACGTTCAATAAGGTTGGATTTTTATTTAAAAAATTATATATTTCCACTAACCAAACAAAGTTTTTTAAAATCACAACCGCACTCATTCATTTATGTATTGTGTGCAAGAAATCTAAATTATTTACTATTTAGCTTTCTTCACAAAAAAATTTGCAGATTCCTGATACAGAATGTTTAGAATGCAATAAAAATGCACCAGATATACCAGAAGACATGATCAAATGGTTAAAAATCAAGAAGAAAAAAAAACCATTCAGTAGAAACATATCCATAAAATAACTATTTTGAATTTATAAGATACTAGTTTAAGATACCTGTAACTGTGGTAGGTTGCTCCTAAGGTAAACCACGATGTGATGTAACCAAATCTAAACACCTTTCTTTGAGGATTGGCAGAACTTGACTTCTTTCTACCAATGGAATATAGCAAAGATGATAGGTTGTATAAAATGCATTATGTAAGAATCTATCTTATTGCACAAGGTATACATGTGTAGAATTATCAAGTCTATCCCAGTAATATATGTAATTAAAATAAGAATAAAAAGGTAAAGAAAAATCTACCTAAGCAGAATGCAACAAAAGATACTTCCTTGATGGCACTGAAGAAGTGAGGTAGCCTGTTATAAGAGAGCTTTCGAGGGGTCCATGTGAAAAAAATGTAGGCAACCTCTAGGAACTGAAGAGAGTCACAACCTACAAACATAAGGAAATATCAGCCTCAGTCCTATAACCACAAGGAACTGAATTCTTTCAACAACCACATAGTTTGCAAGTGCTTGCCAAACTGTGGGAAGGATTATAGATCCACTGAGCATCAAATACCAGATTGGTGAGCTCTTGAGCAGAGGACCAGCTCAGCCATGCCCAGTCACCTGATCAAGGAAATTAAAAGATAATAAATGTGTGCTGTTTTAAGCTCCAAACTCGTGGTATTTATTATGCAGCAATAGAAACTTTCTACAGTCATTATTGGCATGTAAGAAAATGAAAATAAGAAAATAAGGCCATTCACTCTTCTTTTAGCAACAATGATGGGAAAGAGAAATCAATGAAATGAAATTTTCAAAGTGCTGAAAGAAAGTAACTGCCAAACTAGAATTGTAAACTTAGGGGAAATATCCATTAGGATGGAAAGTTAATCCCCAAACTTATTTCTTGAATTAACTTTTGTGTCTCTACAGTATAACTTAACTAACCATCTTGAAAAAAGTCCAGCAAATTATAGTAACAAGAAGCCTCAGCTCTGAAAATAATCTAAGATTAAATAAGTTCTCAGGAAAGGAAATAGACCATTTTGTTTATTTTTCCTTTCATTTTATGTCTTCACAAAATTCATTGAAGACATTCATCAAGACATTTCTACAGACTGAATAAAATTAAGTTTCTGCCTCTTAAAAAGCCATCCACTAGGAAGAACCTAACCCATACAGGAAAATACATCAATACAAACCCTGATCTTCTGTTTTCTAGGTTTGTAATTTGGGAAAATCTTCTCTACCTCTATGGAGCTTAGTATTTTCTTCTTGAAATGATAATGATAATTGT